TTAGTATATAAATTATGTATATTGGCAAAAAAACAAGCATGCTCAAAGGTAAACAGAGAGGGATGAGGTTTTAGTCACGCCACTAATTCAGAACAGAGAAAAAAAATTAGCTTGATACAAACCAAAACCAACCCCAGACAATAGTGGCAAGTTCCTCAGCACTCACTGCAGAGCTATAGGCACATTTGCACAGTAATACACCCTGAATATACTGTGCACTATCCTGCAGCTTACAGGACACAGCTAAACTACGCAAAATATCTGACAGCTGCACTTCCCAGAGAGGATGGCCTAAACTTAGGAATCCCTGGGATTCACACCCCATTTTGTGATGCCCACCCCAAAGACTGATAACAACCCCTGGCACCAGTAAATGCTGGGGCCTGAGCAGCTGGAAAGCAGCTTTGCAGAGGAGGACTTGAGAGTCCTGGTGGACCCCAAGTTGAACATGAGCCAGCCATGTGCCCTTGCAGTGAAGAAGACAATGGTATCCTGGGCTGAATCAAGCTAAGTATTGCGCCAGTGGCTCAAGGTAGGTGATCCTTCCCCTCGGCTCAGCACTGGTGAGGCCACATCTGGAGTGCTGTACGCTGTTCTGGGCTCCCTAGTACAAGAGAAGCATGGACATATTGGAGAGCCCAGCAAAAGGCTCCCAAGATGTTGAAGGGACTGGAGCATCTCTCCTGTGAGGGAAGGCTGAGGGAGCTGGGACTGCTCAGCCTGGAGAAGGTTCAGGCAGGACCTTATCAATGGTGTATAAATGCCCAAAGGGAGGGTGTGCAGAGGACAGAGACAGGCTCTTTTCAGTGGTGCCCAGTGAGAAAGGACCAAAGGCCATGGGCAAAAACCGAAACACAGGAGGTTCCCTCTGAACATCAGGAAACACTTTTTCACTATGAGGGTGACCAACCGCTGGCACAGGTTGCCCACTCCCAGCTGGTGGAGTCTCCATCCCTGAGAATATTCAAAAGCTGTCTGGACATGGTTCTGGGCAACTGGTGGTTGTCCTGCTTTAATAAGGGGTTGGATCAGATACCTCCAGAGGTCCCTTCCAGCCTCAGCCATTCTGTGATTTTGTGACTTTCCTTCAGTTCCTTGTAATTAGCTGTTCACTGGCATTCACTGGAAAAGAGCTAAATTCCAGTCCATCCAATAACAGTGCCATAATTAGCTATAAGTACAAGTCAAGAAATTATTATATACATTAATCCTACTGTTACATTGGGTGAGAAATCATTGATTTAAGAATAGGGGCTTATGTAAAAATAAACAGTCACAAGACTGTACCAAGGACTCCCAAGAATGACAGTGAGACAACACACACAAATGACCAATTACTGACACAGAAAATTTTCTAAGAACCTAACGAGGGTTTTCTTTGTAACTCGGAGCAAAGACAGAGCTGACTTTACGGTGTACGCAAACCTAAAGTGAAACCAAGTATTTGCACTATTGTGTGCAGAATTGATCACTGCCACCCTGTACTACATTGTCTTACTCACTAAATGCAATTTTATTAGATCCAAGTTGTTGTTGGCTCTGGTTACACACCCTTGAGGGCTGGCTGTCAAATCTGGATGCAATACAGCACCAAGTGGGAGAAGTGCCAATGTTCAAGCAGCCGTCAGTGTTCAACGACCCGTTCTGAAGGAGAGAGATCACTGGTCAGACAATGCACGCTTAGAAGATGGAAATGCGTATCAAAACATGAAACCTTGCATCACCATTTAGCTTGTAAACGGCAAGATGAGAATCAGCCTACATAACCAATCTACCTTTCCCAGGAGACAGGCAAAACGGATGCTTTCCACTAGAAATCTAGTCGTTTTGTTTAAATGTTGTTTGCTATCATAGCAAATTCTCTTACTTTGCTACATGCATTCTCACCACAATAATTAAAAAATGCTCCTGTTGAACTTTACAACAGAAGTGGCCTTCTAGAGTGCAAAACACAAGGACTCATTGCTTAAGCTGCTTCTGGAAGAGAAAGGAAGAAGCATAATAGATCAGACAAGAACGTATTCAAGGCTATCAAAAACCAAATATTAAAAATTTCTGTTTGAATTATTATCAGACAGACAAAATACAGAGCTGCTTTTTCTGCTTATTAAAAACAGAGAATATTGCACCTATGCAGACCATGCAGCAGGCAAACAGGTTTAAAGTGCCAGCTATCAAAAGAGAGACACTGACAACATAGTAGAGCAAAAATGCTGCAGCCAAGATGGTTTAAACATAAGGTATCCATCAGCTCGTCTAACACAAGATACTTCTCAGCTGCAAACCTTCCCCCCACTGTATATTGAGGCAGTGCTTTAATACCACTTTTTCATCTAAAATGAGCAAGAGCTGGACAAATGGTGGTGCAGCAGTGGAAAAAGTCACTGTGCAGAAATTACTGTCTTTTAGGTGACTGTTTTTGTTAATCAGATGAGAAATAAAAAGACGGAAGGACAAGAGAGTGGGAAGTCAAGGACTGTTTCCTTTTTTCTAGCACAACATCAAATCGCCATGTCTGGTACCTGTTGGACTGAGAACGCACAGTAAGAGGCTCAAAGTATAACTAGCCTCTGAGAGAGAGGCAAATTCCGCTTTCCTGTTGTCTGGCTTCACAGATACGAACTAGAACACTCTCTACTCAACTTGGCCACACACCAGGCAAACTGTTTCTGTTAAGATCATTCACGACTTGAGGAGTGTCATATGTATCTGTTTTCCTTCCTGAAGCAGATATTAGAAATTAGCTAAAATTGAGGACTAAGCGAGGGAGAAAAGAACCACCAACCAATGCTTCCACAAAGAAATCTAATCAGCACGTAGAATGAAAACACGCGGTAGTGGAAAACTGCAGACAGGATTGCTCCGAGAGCCTTCATGGTATGCACGTTACATTCCATGCTTCAGATGTTAAAGCCCTTATGCAGGGAGAACTCCTTTTTTTTTTTTTTTTCCCCCAAATCATGTGATAGGTCTCCAACAAGACAATTCTCAAACAGAAAAGATTGAGGGACCACATATTCTACGGCTTCCCCGCAGCACATCGTTGTCAGTGATCTTTCTCTAGGTTAACTAACTCTTCTCATTTCCAAGTGTGGAATGGTTTGGGTTGGAAGGGATCTTTAGAGGTCACCTGGCCCACCCCCCCTGCAATGAGCGGGACATCTTCCACTAGAGCAGGTTGCTCAGAGCCCCGTCCAACCCGACCTTGAGTGTCTCCAAAGATGGGGCATCTACCACCTCTGGGCAACCTGTGCCAGTGTCTCACCACCCTCACTGGAAAACATTTCTTCCTTATATCTAGTCTGAATCTACACTCCTTTAGTTTAAAACCATTACCCCTTGTCCTGTCAAACAGCTCTCTAAAGCAAATCACCCCTCCCCCAAAACTAACTGACTACACGTAGCACCCACGTCCAGAAAAGAAGTGAGAGAAACCTACTTGGAGCTGTTGAGAGTCTCCGGATGGGAAGCCCAGACGCATCTCACGTGGAAATGACCAGTTATATCCAGCTGTAAACAGCATGCTAATAAATAACCACACCCTCCATGGTTTTGACATTTTTATTAATCAAAGACAGCACAACTGCCATATTTCTAGTGATCAGAGAGATCCCAGGGTGCTTTCATAGCTTAACCAAAAGATACATCGCAGAATACACCACAGATGTGGAGCAACACCCTTGTTACAACTGGGTGAACTGGCGTGACTGGCACCCTGCACAGCACAAGCAAGGGTCCTCAGGAAGAGAATATGCCTTGGCAATAGACCACGACTCCTGCAGGGACATACCAAGGGCTCCAGAAATATGCTGCAGGAGAATCTGACACTGTACCTGACTGAGAGGGTCCCAGAGTACCAGAGAAGTATCAAAGTTCTGTCTCCACCTCTGAGGCAGAGCAATGTACAGAACACTTCAGCTCCAGACCTCTTACACATACAGACCAAGCATATTTTTTTTTTCTGCATGCTAAATAACTACATGTATATTTTGTACTGGCATTTATAGAACTGCATAAAAATCAAAATATAAAGTTCTGCAAAGTTTTGCTTAATACTCTTAGGTGGAAGCTTGAAGGGTTAAGTTTACGTCACTGTTCCCAACAAAACCCAAAAGCTAACTATGTGGGAAAATAAACAAGATGTGCCATTTCAATTCCTTAGCACTTTATAAACAATTTTCAGTATACCAGTTAATACCTAGTGCAAAGCACATGCTTAGGTAAAATCCAAGACATGGATAAAGTGTAAGGGGAAAACAAAAAGCTTGCAACAGAAGCTAGCATGTGTTGTCTCCATGCTCACAGAAATATAAAAAGAGGGAAAGGTGTTCCTCATATATAGCATTATTTTGGCTTTGGTTTAAGAAATGTAGATGTTTTCTCCCAAAATAACAGTACTTACAAGGTTACATCATTGGCTTGTAAAAAGCAAACTTTTACGGTGATGGGAAAAAGCGTCTACATCACTCAAAACTAAACATTTCCACGCTCACCATGAAGAGTGCAGCAAGTTTATACTTATGAGCCAACACTTCTTGTGCTGAGGGCAAATCCACTGCTTGGTTGGAGGAAGCATCCAAAAAAAAACAAACCAGACACACCCAGAGAAAACCCAACCAAAACTAATTACAATTTATGGGATGGTAAGAAATTATAGTTTTCCAGCATAAAACATAGAGCATTTCTTCCGTTTCACGTCACCCACTGAAGTTTGCCCAGGTTCTCCACAAGATGACACTGCTTCATAGCAAGTTATTTTCTCCATGAATATGGCAGGCTAAAAATACCCGAATTCCCTGTAAGTGGTAACGAGGTACATCTCTTTCCTACGAAAAGGGACAGTGATTTAACAGATGGAACCTTAGGAAACAAAATTTAAAATTAAAAGGCAATGTCTCAGCCCACAGCTAGGAAGTGCAAATGCATTAAGTACAATTCAGAAAAGAGTTGTGAACTCTGTGTAATTTCAGCTTGAAAGTATAGCATACAAATCAGGATTATTACAGAAGCATCCATAACATGCTCACTGCAGAGGCAATACTGAAGGCCGCTTTGCTAACACTGGTAATTGCGCTCTCATTGCACAAGTCGTGTTGGCAGCAAAAGAATTCAAAATTATCCAACTGGAAGAATTCAGCAATATCATTCATTCTGCACTGGGATGACTTCCAGCAGGAGGAAGTTCTCAATTTACCTACAAAAAAAAAAAGGGTTAAAAAAAATTGAAAACAATAACGTTTTTGGTTCAGAGAGAGAATCACTGCCTAGACTGCCACATACTTGGTTTTTTAGCTTCTTTTCAAATGTTTAGAAGTTTCCAAATCTGCCTTCACTAAAACTTTAGTAGTGCAAATAGCAATAGCAAGTCGTGGTCCCGCCTCCACAGAGCTCTCCTGTAGCTCTTGGCCATAGGTTAAGAAAGATTTCTAGCTCAAGCTAACCAGTGCTTCCAGTTCAGTCCACATGACCCACTGGGAGATACAGGGTGCAGCTTGAGTGACACCTGCTCTGAGGCTCCTGGCACAGAGAAAGACAGCGCATCACCACCTAGCCCAACTCGCATTGCTCTTGTATCATCCCACAGCGCGGGCGCTGTCCCTTGCAAAGCTCGGAGTAACGCAAGTTAGTTTTAGTGATGAAGCCGAGTCCTGTCTGATCCGACCGGCTGCATTGCCAGCAGCAACCTGAAGACAGAGCTTGGAGAGCAGAACACTCCCCTTTTCCCCCTCATTCCCCTGGACACTAGAGATCAACCAACTTGTCTTTCATCTTCCCTAGCTCGACACCTCAAGCACTCGGCTCCTGAGGATGGACAGCGACCATAGGCTGCATGCTAGAGAGCCTACAGCTTCTGCTCATGAAGGTTTAAGCTCCTGGGAAACACCAAAAGTGAAAATCTCTCAGGGTTCAAGCACAGAGCAGCATCCTGGTCCAGCAGCATTAGAAGCTTCTTTCCTCCACGCCAAGTCACGAGTGTTAGCAAGGACCATCCCAGGAAGCACAGCAGGCCCACCCCATCCTGGTTCCTGCTCTCCAAAGCCAGCTCAACACTGTTTCTAGAGCAGAGGAAACCAGCTGGGAATACATATTATTCCAGGTGATTCGGCACTTCCGTTTTTATAACGGAACTCCTGTCACTGGCAGCAAGAGAGTTAATTAAATGTTATTTAACAACCAGAACAGTAGCTCTACGCCCTGAATATCCTTGACCATCTTCCTAAGATGCAGGCGACTTCACCCTCAGGAAAAGACAATTTATTTTAATAGTGTCAATTCATAAATGACTGAGTCTTCATCTGCAGGATTATTTTGTGGGTTCTACATGCTTTATCTATTTTTGAAGTGTAACAAATTCAGGGCAAAGGTTTTGCATTTTAAAGTCTCCGATTTTTTTTCCAGCTCCCTTGGGTGGTGAGCTTTTTGTTGTTTGTCTGTTTGTGACCTGGATATACATATATCTGCATATATGCTTGTACAAGTACAAATCAGCTATCAAAATCATCATTATCCTTATCAGTTGCTTGGATGACCTTCAAAAGTATTTGCAACCTTCTCTTCTGTGAGGCTAAGAAATGCATGCTAAGGGCAGATTAGAAGTGTACAGGCAATGAAAACTGATATCACCATGTTTATTTTAGGTCTGTAGGACAGTATACATACCAAATCTCATCTGCAAGCAAGCATCTTCCGTCGCTAAGCAAGTACTATTGGTCTTGCACAAAGCGGGGCTGTTCTCGCAGTGGTAACACCGTAGGGTATAACCTGAAACGACGCGGGTCGTTACTGAATAATAAAGTACTGAAACAGTAGCAGCATTGGAAAGGAAAAAAAGAATCACTATCTGTATCTAGCTGTCACAAAACATCCACCTGGTTAATGAAACTCAAGACTTCAACTAAAATTTACAAGCTTTTCCCAGTGTACAAATTGAGACTGGCAAGTTTGAAACGAAGGTTTTGAAGCACGTCCTTGTTTTTGAAAACATTTACCTTCATGTGCCTGCAGAACAATCAGAGTAGATAAAAGAAACAAACATTTAATATAATGACTGTCTCTTCCAAAAGGGCAGACAAGAGACCCTTTCAGCAGAATTTTATTCTGCCCCTTTTTTATCCATCTCATTTCTCTCTTGTGCTATACAGCTGGTCATTCCCCAAAGGGGTACTAAATAACCCAGGCCCCCCTTCTTATTTTTCCTTCTCCAACATTTTTTCCATGATTTCCTCAGCTCCTGTCTTAACATTACATCAGGAAAGTACCTCCATAATACTCACCACAACTACAAAAAGTGACCAGAACAATGCAGGTGGTCAGCAGGATGCAGTTCATCTTGGTCATGATTCTTCCCTAGTCTGAAAGCATAAACAGCTCTTACACGTTTATTCTATTTCATAGCTACATGAAACTAGCAAAACACATGGAAAGGAATGAAGGTTTCAAGACTTGATTCAGTATGGAATGGAAGGACCAGGAAAACCAGTGAAAGAGAAGAAAGAAAAGGAATTCAGCACTTTCAAAGAAAGGATTTGTATTCCGAGAACAGGGGTTTTATTTTGAGAAATGAGACCCGAGCCCCAACGAGCTGTAGATCACTCTCCCTTCTCCCCTCTGATTACACCATTAAACAGGTCTCCCTATTTCTCACAGCTACAAATGCATCTCACCTAGGTCTCAAAAGCTTTTTCTTTTATAGCAATTTCCCGATAACCCTGGAGCCAGACTGTGCTCCTTTCTTCTCTCTCACGGGGCTGGAAGAGATCTGTCTGCACAAAAGGGGGCTTTTGCTTCTCACAAAAGTCCCTCTCACTGAGGGGCCGGCACATGCAATAACCCACCAAGCGACTGCAGTGATGGCTTGAGTCCTCCACAATTACTGTAATCCGTAGGTAGGAATGAGATAGCATGGTCAGGATGTTTTTAAGGTAGACAACTCCAAAGCAGGAGTTACTATTAGGCTTCTGAGCACTGAGCCTGAAATACAAACAATAATATCTAACACTAAAATATCTCTGCTATTACAGAGCAGGCTGCTCAGACTAGGTATCAAGCAGCTACCGGGGGAGAACAGGAGCGAAGGACCATACTTTTGCTAGGAGAGCATGACTTCATGTTTGCCTTCAAAGCCCAAGTGGGATTAGAAGTCTCAAAGAATTAAAGGCATCCCCGTAACAAGTTTCACTTGAGATAAGACTGCAGTGAAAGATGTACGTTGCTGCTCTATGACCCTCTTAATACTGCTTGAAGCTTCTTCTAGATGCTGCTAAGAATCTAGCGTGGCAGACCATAACCATGTTGGGATGGAGTTTTTTCCTCCCAGAAGATTGACTGTAGACTTCAAAAGATGGTTTCATAGTAAACAGTACTGAAATCCTTCTCAAGCTTAAGTCTAGTTAATTTTTCTACTTGACAACAAACACTAATTTTTTCCTAGCTCTATGACCTACTGTTGAGCAGGAAAACCAGTAAAACAAAACCATAACATGCAGGATGAAGATTATTTTCTGAGGTAAACAACTTCGCGAGAAGCTTTCCAAGATGAGAGGCTCATCCCACAACGATGTGAATCTGCAGGAGTGCCATTAGTCTGGTGGTTAAAGCCAGAGCCATCTGGACAGCAACAAGAATCCGCCTGGGAACCTCTCCATATTCCAGGAGCCCTCAGTCACGCAGTGGTCTCAGTGGAGCGAAACCGTTTTCTGCCTCTTAACAAAACCAAGTCATGACCAGAATAGTTATAAAGCAGATTAAAATAATGCTAATAGCCAGCATAATAGCTTTGACAGTAGTCATTCAACCAATTTAACGGTGTGAAAATGAGTAATTTTTTTCTGTGCTCCTGAACGACAGAGATGAGACGACAGTAAAATTTTACCACAAAAAAAAAAAAAAAAGACATATATAGAAGGGAATTCAGCTCAAAAGAAGCAAAGCAGAAAATCTTTCCGAAAGTGAATTTTTTAAGTGCTGTTTTGACTCGGGCACCCGACCAACCTGACATGACATAACAAAACCAGCGATGGCAATGGCAAGACCGACCGCCGTGGCTGAGAACCAGAATTTCTCCGCAGTGCCGGCCGGGAGAGCAGCCCTACGCGGCTCGGCTGCCCCTTCGCTCCTGACCGCAGGGCCGACCGCGGCAAGGCGAGGGCGAGGGCTACCGGCCCCATTCC